TTGCATAGGGTATCATATAGTAATTGCACATTACATTAGCGCTTGATACTATAAATATCACAATAAATGTGCAACAACAAGATTTATAGCGATATATCATGATACATTAGGGAAAAGCATATATTGTGGCTTTTTTTACAATAAAGCTCTAAAAAACACTCACAAGGTCTTGTGGTTGCTTCACTGTGGCTGCTGCACTGATCTCTATTTATTCAGTGAAATGCTCACAGACTGTTGGTAGTAGTTAGTTGGTAGTACAATCCCTTGTTAGACCAGTTCAGAATGTAAACAATACGTGTGCTATGGCATTGAACAACGACGATGTTCTCATTTTTATGGGGGCTTAAGATTTTAAAACAAAGATAAAGTCATCACTTTGACACACACTTGCTGTTTCATAGCAGCAGTAGATTACTGTAATTTATGGTAAAAAAGAGGCACATCACATTGGATATTTAGTATGAAGTCTATGAGGTCTATAAATCATGAAATATAACATTCATACAAATCCATCGCAATAAAATAAGTGTATTATAATGGAGCATAATAATACTATAGTCGGATATTAAGAATATTACAAACACACACACTTTCTGATGATGTGCCAAAAGTGCTAAATTGATTATGTACATGTAATATACACATATTGATTACATTGTTATGTAATTACATAACAATACAGGCATTTTTATGGTGCAACTCTGTGAAAGTGGGGAGTACAAAGATGGCAGCAGGTGACTTCAGTTTTTTTCGGTCTATCAACAATCCAGTGAATAAATATGTGAGTGTTATAAAATAGTAAGAGAATAAATTACATATTTGTTTATAAAAATTGTTTACATTTGATTAGATAATTATTGTCTTATGAAATATTGCAATCTTTAACAGAATAGATTTTTTTATGACATCTTTCAGAGGAACAAGAATCTAAACACATCTGAACTGGTCAGCTAAGACTTTTTTTTTGGTTCACATTATTCTAATTAAGAGAAAAGTTAACCACAGCAGCGGCTTTACTAGGGACAAATCAAGATGAAGGGAAAAGCTTTGGCATTTTGTCTTCTGGCAACTAAGTAGGGGAAAATGATCAAGAAAGAGAAGCATGTTACACAAAAGGGTATGGTTTGAGCTTGATCCAAATGATAAGAAATGCGCTCAGCTGCGTACAAATAAAAAGGGGAGACGAAAACTGAGAGAGGGTAAAAACAACACATGAGAGAGAGATGATTAAATGCAAACAGCCTATTAAAAGTTTATTGGAATTTGTTGGTTTTGGATCCATTTGCCATCAAGTAAATGGTAGCTTCCAGAAGCTCACCCAAGCAAAGTCATTTCAAGAAAACAGCCAACTCTATATTTTAGCATGGTGCCAGACCCTTTTAAATTGTGTCCTTCCATCCCCTTGGTTCTCAGCAAAGCCTTTGATTAGTGTGATGTTGTGCTGCACACATTGGTGTGCATTATTGCTAACAAGTTACTTCCCTCCAGTGCATAAAACATGTGAGTGTGAGAAAGAGTGTGAATGTGGCCAATCCCCCTCACAGTAAACAGGCTGGGGGGCAATGGGTCCTCCCTTATGAGGGATTAGAGCTGGCTTTTTAATTACAGCTTCACAGTCCCTGGAGTTAGAGCTCCACGCTGTGCTTTCTACTCATCTGGTGGCTCATAGGACTATTTTACAACCATGCTGCCATCTGCATTCAAAATGCATAAATGAAAGCCTTCAAAATAAAGAAGTGTGTCTCAAAATGTGGGAAAAGCCTTCTCCTACAACAACGGACTTTGCAGAACGAAGTCAAATCAGAAAATAATCCACATGAAGAAGACCAATAATGTGCAGATGTGCACCTGATGAACGTGTCCAAGGGGCATCCGATGCCACCTCAGCTGACTCCTCTTATTTTAAGGAGAAGCTCTTCTAAAAATAAAGCCCTGAGCTCCTCCCTCTATCTTCAAGGATATCATTCTTTCAGTCATGATCCTAATTTCATGATCACAGGTGAGAGTAGGGATATAAATCTGTCACGATCTTGGCACTGATAGCTGGATTTGGCTCTTTTCTCACATCTGCTCAGAACCGCCCAGCACTTATTGTCTCTTATCAGATCCACCAATTCCTGCTTCTATTTAAGCTGCCTGTTCCCAGCCACTGGTGTCAGATTATTCAAGCTTTGTGTGTCATGAGTTTCATAGTCACTAACCTTAGTTTCCACTTCTACAGAGGATCCAGGTAATCTTCCACGGCTGTCGAGCCACAGTGTGCAGAGCAGTTAATAAAAGTTTGCTTGTGATTATACCCTGGCCTGTCTGCTTGAATTCTGGGTTTTCTGAGAAAATCATCCAGTTAATTGAGAGCTTTGGCTTTTGGCTCAACTCTCTGTTCACCAAAACAACCTGAAGCAGCGTCCAGCTTATGGCAGCAGCTGCATCGATCCAGCAGCTTCCTGCTCAATTCTTCTCTGTTTTGCAAACAAGATCCAAAAAATGTTTAATCTCTTTCACTAAAGACACAAACACTCCTTCAATGTGAACTCAGGCTTGGAGGTGCTTATCCTCTGCAATGCATGCTGTAGGTTTTTGCTGGAGAAAACCAATAGAGCCATGTCTTTTACATAAAGCAGAGACAAAATCCCCTGGTCTCTGAAACCCTTGGCTGCGACTGATAATCTAGACTATTAAGAATGGAACCAGCAAAGGAGGCAGCACTGCTGACATCTAATATTAGGTGCAAGCTTTTTGACAGCCGTGACAGAGTGAAAGAAAACATGAACGATATGTGGACACCCTAAGAATAACAGGTGTTTAGTGCATAACTCATTAACAGGGGACTCGACCCTTGATGCAACCATTCTGTGCTCCAGTCCCGACCCCTGTGTCTCTCTTAAGATAATTTAAAGATGATAAAAGTGTTTGCTCTAACACTGAATGCCTACTGTATCACACTGTAGACAAATCACTCCCTATATGATATTGCTCTGATGAAATGGTGGCCAAGATGAATTCTTCTAGTTAATCAGGTTTACACATGATGTTTGATTTGGGAGGCTGTCATGACCTTGGCACTGATGCCTGATCTGATAATTCATTTCACACACCTGCTTACTGTAGCTCCGCCCAGTTCTCATTACCCACTTATCTGATCCACCTACATTAGCTTCTAGTTAACCAGTCTTCAGACCAGCCATCAGTGCCAAATGACAAACAGATGAACTCTGGTGTTAATTTACCTGAACCACTCTGGTTTGAGGCTTTATGTTACTGGGTAAGGTATGCATTTTTGTGTTTATGCCAAATGTTTGTTGTAATGCATTGACTATTAACAGTCCTGACTCCTGCTAAATGTTGTATGGACAAACGGGCTGGCAACATGCCTGAGTGAAATCATATGTCAGGAGCTGTCCAGATTCTGTTACTGTTACTGTTCTGTTACTAATATTCAAGTTATTACTAAACTTAAAAGCCAGCTTTTTGAAAAAGTCCTTTTCAACTGTTAACTTTATCTGTTAAAGCTACATTCCTTGGATCACTGCAACCTGCTGGTGATATTAGGTATATTTTTATCACCATATCTGGGCTAAGAGTAAAAACAGCTGACCAGATAATTCACTCAGACTATTTGCACGTGTAAAATGTCCCAAGTCTTGTTTGACTTGGGAATTTGGTCCCAGTAGATTACCAGGACTCATACGTTTCCCAATCAGATATATGGGGCCACAGTTTTTTAAGCTTTCTAATAAGAACTTGGTGGCGTGCGGAAGGAAGAGTTGGAGATGAATACGGTTTGTGGTTGCGGCTGGAAACAGAAACTCTGTATTGGGTTGAAAAAATCCATAAGAGCCACCTAGCGTCCACCACATAAAATTCAGTGAAAACAGCACGGCACGCTTGCAGCTATTATCAAGTGATCCAGATCCACCTCTTTTCAATTAAATTTAAAGGTAACCCATGGTCGTGATGAGCTGAAACCACCCTATAGTCAGCCTGGACCTGCGAACCTCTGGCATGAATGCCTCCTTCCCTGTGTCTTTATGTCGGCAAACAGTCGACTTCATAGCTATGTAAGTATTGATAAGATTCAAAGTTTGTCAGGCTGTTGCTGGTTGTAACATTAGGTCATTTTGTCTTATTATCCTTCCAGTTTAATAACGTAGCACGGAGTGGTATTGATAAACCACCTTCTTTTATGAGCAATAAATAAGAATATGCCCAGTTTATAGCCATTGATATCTATTATAAATAAACTTTTAACTTTTTCAACCGGAAACCGGAAGTAAACTGGACATTCATGTAAAATGTCTATAAATCTTTGATACTTCTTCTTCAATTGCTTGGATGATTTCTATAAAGAGAATTTGTCCAAACAAAAAAAAAGTATTGTTCTTGCAGAAATTAATGCAGAAGTTTAAGCACGTATGTGACCTTTCAAATAATAATGTTTTTTTTCTATTTTAATGAATAGATACATGCTGTATAAACACCTGTTTGTTTGCCACATTTCACAACATATTTTAAAACAGGAACACATTCGGTTAATGAGGGTGTAATTTATTGACACCTCTTGAAGTGGTGTGCAGACTGTTAACACATTAGTCAGCATGTGTTACAGATTATGCGGGACAACTTGAACTTGTTTTCAGCACTTGTGTATTTGACATATCTCTGATGTTTTATTGAAAAAATAAAAAAAATCTATACATTAAATTTAAATCTACTGAACTCAAAATCCTCTATTTAAGGTTATAACCATCGTCAATAAACGATGCTGCATTTCTAACCCAAAAGGTTTTTCAAGCTAAGAGGAATAAAACATGCAAGAGATAGTATTACTGAGAATGGATTACGTTGGGGGGTGAAAGCAGCAAGCTGTGATTTAAAACATGGTCAATTGTGTTAGCTTTAAAATATGCAGGCTGTGCTGTGTGCGACTGCTGGGGTGTGTATGGGCAAACATTTGTGGCATGGTTGACAAAAGCCGCGTCGGTATGTGAGACTACACTCACCTTCACATTGGTTGACATATCCTTTCAGAAGAACAACAAAACACAGTAGAGGACAAATAAATAAAGGAGGTTCTGAGAAGCACACAACTCTGAGAATGACAAAAAAAACTGACTGTTTATAATGAAACATAATCATAAGAAATAAAGCAGGGGGAGGCAGCCCCTTCCGGAGGCAGGATTATGGGATTTAGACTCCCAAATAATGAAAATATGGGATTGCAAGCAGAGTATTTGAGAACTTCCATTCTGACACTTTGAATTAATCTGGCAACAAGCAACATCAACTGCTGCAAAAGCCTTTTTTTACTTTTTCGAGGCATTTTTTTTGGTTTACATTTTTAATTTGATTGAACACTATTCCACCTCTGAGATGTTACCTTAGTCTCTGTGCGCCGCGTGGTTCCATCATCAGAGGTGACCACCGAGACGTGGGAGGTGGGGGTGCCGGGGTCCTCCTCTATGGTGACCGTTTCCTCCACCACCTCCTGCGGCTCCTGCATCATGGCCAGGGGTGTGGCGTTACTGGGGCTCTGCTCCTGGACACAAAGAGGAAAGAGGAGATACATTTCAGCAATCAGGACTCAACAAGCTGATTTCCCTAATCGCTGTGGCACAGCGTGGGGGAAAAAACAACTTCCAGGTAATTGTCTGTTAGACATACAGTAAAATGAATCTCTAGCTGTGCTGCCAAGCAATAAACGACATTAAAAAGCAGCAGAGAAAAGCAGAGTTTGCATAAGCGCAGTGATAAAAAAGTGTTGTTTTAAAAACAACACTTTTGATAAAAAAGTTTGTGAAAAATAATGAGAAATAAGGTTTTACGGCACTGAAAACATCAGATAAATGACAAGTGTTGTGATAACGAAATAGGAAAAAATGACTGTATGCAAAACAAAAAAACAGCTGAAATGATAACAACTTTGCCTTTTTGCTGTCAGTAGAAAATGCATTATTATTTAAAATATGTACTTTAACAAGGCAATGATGATTATTTGCAAAGGTGATCTGAGCTGATTGCATGTGTAATCTGCCAAACTGAATATAAAGTAATAAGGATTTTTAAGAAGTTTTTTTTTTCAAACACAAAATTCCAACTAATAAAAAAAAAAAGCTAAAGGAATTGCAGTTTTAATGAACCAATTTGTTTAAATTCTGAGATGTACTGTGAAACAGTGATGGGAAACAAGTGATTTTCAGCACGAATATGTATCCTTCAGAGTCAGTTCTTCAAGTCCAAGAGCGAAGAATTCAAACAACGGCCTACCAGGTCACTACGTTAAACACTGTATGGAGTTTAAGCTGATACTGCGAAAATAAGGAAACATTAGGTGTTGGTGTCAGTGAAATGATTTGAATAAAACCAGAGAAAGAGCAGATTAAAAGAAGCTATTTACTTAGGAGGTATTTTCAGTGATGTTTGAAACACGTGCTGCACTTTGAGATGGCGAGAGAGAGCAGGACTTCCATCAGCAAAGGTTGAAAGGAACAAAGTTGCTGTGCGTTATCCATCTGAGCTTATAACCTCTGAATGTCATAGAACATGAAAGGTTTAGAAACGATGACAAACTTTTGGGAATCGGATGTGACATACAAACACACTTTTTTTGAGTAAGGCCACACTGTCCTGAACACTCTTGATGTCATCCAATCTTGGAAGCAGGGTTGGGCCTGGTTAGTACTTGGACGGGAGACCGCCTGGGAATACCAGGTGCTGTAACTGAGGGGAGCATTGGCCTGGTGGGTTAGAATAATGGGCTTATATATATATATATATATATATATATATATATATATATATATATATAAATATATATTTCACCACAACAACATTTATCTGAAAATAGAG